ACGACGACGACGACGACGACGCACTTCTCTATGTTTTGTTAAGTTCACGCATGAAGCGTCGTGAACCTAAACCGAATCAGCCAAGGGGCAACACTGTAGGAATGGGGAGCCTTCTTCTTACAAGCACGTCGGTTCGAAGAAGGATCTTTCGCTCCAAGCCCTCTGCCGGGATGCCCTCATGGAGCCTTAGGGTTCAACAAGGCGGGGCTTGCAGTGTCTTAGCGAGATCTGACTCAAATCTTCAATCACAAGGTCTTTAGCGAAACGATGTTACGTCTTGGCCTGTGCCCAGTGACTACATCTCCTGATCCTCCAACAAAGTCTGAGCAGATGGCTCTGGATGTAACATTCTCTTCTTCAGCACAGTATTTCTAGGGTTGCTAGGCAGGTCTTCTGTGAAACAGTGTCTTTAGGGAAAGCATTCCGAAGAGCATCCAAGCCGCAGGCTCTGACCAAAGAGCAAGCCACGACCAGCTGAGAGACGAACGTCCAGAGCCTCAAAGCCGGCAGCCAATCCACCTCTTGCCTCAAGCTCTTCGTTCAGGGTCATGCCTCGAAAATCCAAAGGCTGCACAGGATGGAAGAAGCGCGTCCTTCCCACGGAGTCCAGAGGAATGAGCAGTGTGCATAAGCTCCTCAAATTAGAATGCTGGGCGAAGGGCGCATCGCGGTGCGGCTTCAGGAATCCCCCTGGCCCATAGGAATTCACACGAAAACAGTCGTTCAGGCCCTCGAGCTCCCAGTCACCCTGCGCACAGCCGAAGCCAAGAGGTCTCAGGCTCTGGCCTTCGAGTGCCTCGCGCACGTAGGGCTCCGCTCGCTCCCAGAGCTTCCTTGCCAAGGTCTCGTCGCGCACGACTACGCGCTGGTAGCGGCGGGTGCCCCTGAAACAGGCCACATCCATGGGTGCCATTGCCAGCTTCTCGGAAAACCTGACGATTTTCCTGCACTCGTTTTGGGTGAAGAGCTGTGGCAGCTTGGCAAGGGAGTCGCAGAGGAACTCTCCAGTCCCTGGGTGTAGCGACTCGACAGATTGACCAATACTCCACTCTGCCAGATCCTCACAGAACTCATGGTGGGGGAGCAAGACGTCTTCTTGGCATTGATCGATGAGGCACAAGGCAGCATTCGATTCTAAGAATTCGGACCGCCGACTCTGCAATGCAGGCCTCCCTTTGCACATCAAGTTCAGGGAGCTCGCGAAGGGTACTTGCAATGTGACACCCGGCTGGATGCCTAAGTCCGCCAAGCTTGTCTCGGCTTCGCTGTCCCAGTCCAACTCTCTCTTCTGAATAAAGAAGGCAGGCCTTGTGGCAGCGGGGAGTTGAAGCCTGTCAGCCACCAACACACCGAAGGCCTGCAATGTGCACTCGGGATATGCCTCGATGTCCACAGCTTCGTCCTCGTAGTCGACAGTCACCACCCAGGACTTGCGCAGAAGCTGCAGCTCCAAGGCTTTTGCATCCTCCGACTCTAAGAAGTCCTTCAAGGACTCAGTGCTTTCAAGGACTCTCGGACCCTGCAGGAAGGTTTGTGAGTGCAGTTTGGTTCCGAGCTGAGTTGCAACCTTCACGTTGAGCTCATGCACTGTCCAGTCACGGCCTGCTGAGATCGTGCAGAGCTCTTGGCCGGTGGCCACACTGCACACATGTACGGCCAACATGCAGGATAAGCGAGGGGCAAGCTGAGCTTCGTCGGGCGGACGTCTTAACGACGGCGGCAAGCGATCTCGGGGGGCGCTTAGGCTGTCGGGGCTGGGGTTCGAGCCGAAACTGTGCAAAATGCGACTGACACACCACGAAACCTCCGTTGAAGGCTTCGCGGCTTCTCGGATTCGGCGGCATCGGCTTAGTGCCCAGAAGAATCGAAAGATGGGTTAGAGTTAGAGTTCAGGGCGTTTAGGATGCGTTTCAGGTTGTCGGTTAGGGATACCTATACCCACTAGCAGCTTGCTGTTTTAACAACAGCAAGTAGTTGTTGTCAAGGTATCCCTTCAGACCGCAAATGTACAAAGTGTTGTCCTTGACTCCCAAAGCAAAAAAATATACTTGTGCCCCGAGCCCTTGAACACATCGGTGTATGTCCTTGTCAAATGGGGTGCTTCTATCATGATTTAGTACCGTGCTGGCTTTTGCTAGTCTACTCCGGTTAGCAGTATCCAACAGACAGACTGTAGTTATACTGTGAGTACAAGTTTGTAGCTGCTATCTCGTCCTAGGAATAGGCACCATGGTGCAGTGCTTTAAGCCCTAGAGCATGGGGAAAACATCAACACCGTGAAGTTCTGAGGCCTCACGAAGGATCGCCCGGTTCTCGTTCAGCTTTTGATGGACCTATAGTAAGATGGAATCGGATTTAGAGTTTACTGTCCCACCTGCTTAGCTGACTAGGTCGTGCTGCAGGGAAACACAGGAATATCAGGAGGAGAGATTTGCGCGCCTTAGGACAGGAAAGTTCAGAGTTTATAGTGTGTACTGATTGGATGTACTGCCTTATGGACTCGTGTGTTGGGTGCGGTTCACAAACAACTATGGGATGCGGTAGAACGTCCCGTCATTAGATAAGACGAAGCCCCTTCGCACCCCAACGCTTCAGACCCCCGAAGGTGCTCACGCCACGCTCCTACATGCAGCTGAAGTCCACTCCAAACGGCTCTGCACGATTGGTTTGCTCGGCTATTCTTTCATGTTTTTTTCAAAGCCAGCCGACAGCACCACAACATCGTGACAATACAAGCGGCCCTAAAACCAAAAAACAACGCAATTCAGCACTCACGTCAAAGAGTGTAGCAATCCCACTTGCTCCATTCGTTTTAATAGATAGTCTACGCTCTCACAACGCGGACAAGCCAGGCGAGATTCCATAGGTGCGGGTCGGCATGATACAGTGTAATTTATTTTGACACTCACACTCGGACAAGCCTGGCAAGAGGGTTTTGGTCTTAGGATCGGGGAAACCAGGGCCAAGGAACAGGGGCCGCCTCTGCGAAGGACTTTCGTGGAGCCGCGCAGAGCGAGTCAGAGATGTCTTGCCGCAGTCCGACAAGGCAGTCTGATCCCAAACTGCTGCGGGCTGCGTGAGAGACAGTGTTGGCCCTACCCGGAACTGGTGATGGGACTTTTGGGTTCGTAGGAAACCCTCCAGATACCTGAGAACATTTAGGGTTTAGGGTCTATTAGGGAGGGTTGTTTAGGGTTTAAGGCCAAAGCCTGAAACCCTAAACCCTGTTCGAATTACCAGCGCCCCTTGGCATCGCGCCTCCGAGCCTTGCGACGCCGCCTGCTTAGATCCCCAAGTCAGTATCGACACGGAACCTCAAACCAATCCCACAGTGCCATAGCCAAAACCGAAAAACTTCACACCCCACCAGCCCACCGACAAGCACCCGAAGCCCTACACCCTGAATCTTCTCTGCCTTACTTCCGGAGCTCTTTTAACACTTGAAGCGGGCCTGGAAGGCAAAGAGCAGGCGCCTCGAGGCAACAACTCCGAAACAGCTGCTGGGCCTTTATGCTTCTTGGTGTTAGCTCCGTTTCCGTCAAATTCGTTCTGAACTACGGCTTTTGACTTTTGACAGTTGCACTCAGGCATGCCAGGTCAAGCAGGCGAAACCTCTCAAGCTGCTGTCGCGCGGTCTGTCTCAAACGACATCCGCGAGCCCAACGTCTAGAACTTCGTCAGGGCAATCGACCCATCAACCCGCGAGGCTAAAGTGGCCCAAAACACTTCATCGATCTCCTCTTTGCAGATTACACAGAGAACTCAGAGAACTGGAAGACCCCGACATGGCCAAAATTATCATCAAGTATTTCCATGGCCGAAGTCGTGGCTAACGGGCCGCTTAGGATCTGTTTAGGGTTGGTGGCAAAACCTACACACCCACAGCCCCAAGGGTTTTGGTTCTGCATTATTGCTGGAAGTGTTTACAACTACGCGTACAAACGTTACAGCCTACTGACTAAGTTCCCTGATCCTTCAGACGCCCGATAATGTTCGATAGCAGCTCCGTAAAACCTCTAATCAGGTCACAAAAAACCATCAGAACTGCTAGCCCCAACTGTCTTTGAAGGAGGTGTGAGGAGGGTGAGATGGCCCAACAAAGCAGGGCTCATGGTAAGACCTTTAGTACCGCTCTGTGTATGGCTTCAAGGGCCCAATACTCAATCAAGGAGTAGATCTGAAATTCCACAGGGCTCCCTATCAAGGTGAGCCCTTTTCGGATAAACTCTTCAATAAAACAGGGCATTCGGCTCTCCGGCACTGAGCTTCGTAGCATTTATACATTACACAAACGCTCATGGGTAGTCGTCTAAATCAGGTCCAGTCTTAAATCCCCAAACTACCGCAAACAAACACGTCACTCTTCAAACAAGGAGAGAGAACCCTGTGAAAACGAAATCTCAGTTCAGGTTAGGCAAGGGATGATAGAACTTAAACTTAAGACCCGTTTAAGCAAACTACATTCCAATTACGCCTACGAGCCCTCTACAAGCAAAGCTAAAACTCAGAATTCCCAATCAACCCGTCTATAAATCGATTCAACAAGGCCACCACCCCCCCCCCCCACCCAAGGCCCCCTCAACCCTAGATAGCCGAATAAACCCTATTCATTAAACCCCTACACAAAAAAACTGAACCAGAGGACTGCGTCTTTGCCTCGCTGGCAGCTTCTGCCTTTCTGCCGACCGCAGGTGCCTGCCACGAGGTCTCAAGGTTAGGGTTATGTTTTTGTTGGGCTGAGGGTTTCAAGTTTGGGACTTAGGGATTGTGACCCTGGAACTTCGACGATTTCGGATCCAGTGAGCGAAGTACGCTAAAGTGCAGCAGCCAGCAAGTTGACTGAAACAGTCTTCAGAACAGAATCGAAAGCACTCCTAACCCAAATTGTTTAATCCCACCCCGAACCCCCAAAAACCCGCTCTGAGAATCCCCAAACCCCCTTCTCTGCATGTCGGCTGCACGTTCCCCAGTGTGCTGCCAGCACGAGCAGGCTTGACACCAGCCTCGGCAGGGTGAAACTACGAGTGTAGGGCTTCACGGGATGTGAAAGGAGCGGCTACTGTAACTTCGCAAAAGGTTTCGAGGGTTGAAACGAGGTGTTTCGGGCTTTTGGCTCCCTCATGGCTGGCTAAAGTAGCTCGACGGGTCTCAATCGACTCAGTGGCTGCAGGAACTTACTCAGCAAGCATGGGGGCTAAAACAAACCGGGCATGGGAGCGCAGCGTATTACGCCTCTGTAAGTATATAGTACCTGCCCAATTTAGAGGCTCTTAAGTAGATTTTGTTACAGGTGTCATAAAGTGTGGACGGTCTGGGTTGAGGGTGTCTGCAGCACTCGGGTTGTCTCTGGGCCAGGCGGTTTACGATTTTGAGCTTCTGGCGCCTGGGCCTTGGGAATTCCGGCGATCCGGGCATTATGTGTCCTAGGATCATGCCCCTGGCAGCGCGGGGTGCCTCACAAACATGAAGCACATCGCACTGTTTGCACTCAGGAAACTCGAAATCTCTGACCTATGTCTACAGGCTAAACTAACCCTGAACTCAAACCCGACCAGGAATTCGACATCCTGCTTTCAACGAAAAAATTAAAGGGTTCCAGGATTTGGGACACCAAAATGGACCAGTTTGCTATGCTTTCTTTGGCCAAAGGAAAAACGTTCGACCGCAGTCCTACCGTATCTAATTACCCCAAACCTCAAACCAAATCCCTTAACCTCTGCACCCAAGAGCCCAAACCCTCACGCGAGAACCCCAGAGCCCTAAACTCCCTCTGAAGCCCAAATCCTTCGCACTTTTGATTGTTTGAAACTCCATCGGGCCCTGAACGAACAGGATGCCTCCAGAGCCGTGAGCGCCTGCAGAGCCGTAGGTTCAGGCATTCTGTGGGATTTGGGTTTAGGGTTAGGTTTGCAGATTTGGATTTGGGGGTATTGAAGGATTCGGTCTCTGGGCTTTCGGGTTTAAGCCTGTGGGGCTTCGGGCTGCAATGCTTCTGGGCTCCTAGATCCGAGTTCTGTTGCAGGTGCGTGTCCTGCTCTCTCACTGTGTTGGGATCTTTTCTCTCCGAGTCGCGAGGCTCTTGTCCCACCCGCGGGTGTCCGTCCCCTAGGCAAACTCCAGTAAACACCCTTAAACCTGACGACCTAAACAGCCGAACCTGACATCCGTAAACCATTTTGCATC